TATATACATATATATGTACATATATATATATATACATGTATATGTATATATACATATAATATATATATATATATATATATATATATATATATATATATATATATATATATACATTATGTATGATATATATATATAGATATATATATATATATACATATATATATATATCTATATATATAATAGATATATACATATATATATATGATATATATATATATAATATATAATATATATATATCATATATATATATGTATATATATATATATATATATATATATATATATATATATATATATATATATATATATATATATATATATATATATGCATAATCAAACACACATCAGATATGTATGCATGTGCATTTGTATAGAGCATTTGCATATTTGTGCATATGTCTCTTTATCTATCTGTATATAAATATTTATCTTTGCACTAATAATAATGCATGTATTATCTATATAAATCCATGTGAGAAGTTATTTATATACATATATAAATATATATCTTTGATATATATGCATATATGTTTATATATATACTTATATTTAAGTCTACGGTATTGCATATTATCTTATCAGGAGACTGACTCAGATCAGGAACTAATGATGCTTGTTAAGTGATTGCAAGCATCCTGACCTTAACCTGAGCTTCCGGAAGAGAGGGACGAGCAGCTATATAAAGCGGGGCTCCAAGCACAGTCGTCAGTGCGCTTCCACGTCTCGCTTCTCTCTTCGACAACTCTGTTCATTCCTTTCCATAGAAAGAGACTCGGGCACCTTTTGAAATGGCACTCGATACGTCACCTGTTTCGTTACTCAGTAAGAAATGTTTCGTAGTATACATTGTGTGGGAAAGCTTAAACATCCATATCATTTTAAGTATACTTATTTAGTCACTAATACTAATCTTTATTTCGTTTTTTCAGTTATCGTTGGAATATGTTTAGCACAAGCAAGTTACTTGTCACCTGTAAATGGAAATGGGAATGGGATAGGCACCAATGGCAATGGATATACTAATGGCGTGAATGGCAATGGAATGGCAATGGATATACTAATGGCGTTAATGGCAATATACTAATGGCAATGGATATAGTAATGGCGTGAATGGCAATGGATATACTAATGGCGGGAATGGCAATGGATACACTATGCGCAAAAATGGCTAATGGTGTAAATGGTAACGGAGTTTACAGAAACGGGAACGGGAACGGTGTATATACAAATGGCAATGGTAGAAATGGGAATGGAGTGACCGTGTACGCCAATGGCGTTGTGGATCCCTTCCGAGCTCTGGCCGATGCCATTGGCGGCGGAGGCGTCCCAGGTGTGGACTACCCCATCCTGGCCTTCGTCCCCGCCACCGGCTTCTCCTGCAACGGCCAACTGCCTGGATATTACGCCGACACTGCTCCCGAGGCCGGCTGCCAGGTGAGTGAAAAGTCCTCTAAAAATAAAAGGGGGGGGGATAAATATCAGATGGGATTATCATCTATTATTTATTAGTCTAATCTCTTTCTGTGGGTAATGATTAATATTTCATTCTCCATAATTACTAACGTCATTTAGAGTATACTAACCCTCCAGACATGTTCGTAATTGCTAATAATTTCAAAGATATTTAATTGATAAACAGAAAACATAATACGTATACATAATATTTCGTTCTTCTTAATTCACTTGTATATATATATATATATATATATATATATATATATATATATATATATATATATATATATATATATATATATATATATATATATATATATATATATATATATATATATATATATATATATATATAACCACTTTAAGATTTATAGTCATGAAAAGAATATAATTTCCTGTGATGCATTTCAGGTGTTCCACATCTGTCAGGCAGGAGGCAGGATCGACTCGTTCCTTTGTCCCAACGGCACAGTGTTTAATCAGCAATACTTCGTGTGCGATTGGTGGTACAACTTTGACTGTTCCACGGCTGAACAGTTCTACGGATTGAATGCTGAGATTGGTAATATCAATGGAAATGGATATACGAATGGCAACGGTTACTCCAACGGTAATGGAAATGGTTACAGTAATGGCAATGGTAATGGTAACGGAAATGGATACACCAACGGTAATGGTAACGGAAATGGATAAGGCAACGGTAACGGAAATGGCAACGGTAATGGTAACGGAAATGGATACACCAACGGTAATGGTAACGGAAATGGATACACTAATGGCAACGGTAACGGATACACCAACGGTAATGGTAACGGAAATGGATACACCAATGGCAACGGTACGGAAATGGATACACCAACGGTAATGGTAACGGAAATGGATACACTAATGGCAACGGTAACGGAAATGGATACACCAACGGTAATGGTAACGAAATGGATACACTAATGGCAACGGTAACGGAAATGGATACACCAACGGTAATGGTAACGGAAACGGCTACACCAACGGCAATGGAGTTATCAATGGCAACGGTAATGGTAAC